AGAAGCAGACGTGATTGTGGTTGCTATGGGGAATATTTGGCGCCCAATGATTGAGCACGTTTTTGGCTTTTGAATACAAATACAATTGGACGCTAAATTGACTACACAAAATATCATAATAAAATTCAACATGTGTTATGAGTTCGTGTTTAAGTTTTGAAAAAAAAAACTTTGTATGTTTAAAGTGTCCTGTAGAATAAAAAAAAAAATACAAATGATGTCTGAAAGTGTATGCGCAACTGAGCAATTTTCATTCTAAAATAGCATAACCTTCATAGAAACTTACATATAACCTCATAAACGGATCTTTATAAAATTTTGTTTTAATTAATGTGTGTGGCATCTAATTAATAATAGTACCTATTGAAAAATACCAATGAGCAGAAATGGCGCCTTTGGCCCCTTCTGCAGGAATCGTTGCGTATGGATATGAGATTAATAGCCAATAGGTTAAGCCAATTAATACTATATTACCATGCTAATAGCTAATACCATGCTTCGGAATTATTTAACTTCTTATATGATTTTATTAGGTACCTATACCTGAGTTGATATCTATATTACAAGGGCGTTAGTATTTTATTTACTATAGCCATGAATTTAAGACTACAGATAGTCAGATAGATACTGTTAAACAACAATGAATTTGACTATGTAGGATCATGCTTCACATCAGTTTATTATTCTTTTAGATTTTCTGTTTTTTTTTTTTTGTTCATGAATAAAAAATAATAGAATAGTATTATATAAGTATTTGTATAGGGAACGAAGGGTTGCGTACATTGTATACATATATTATGTGGAAGTGGAATATAGACGATGTACGTAATAGATACAGGATAWWATGATGCGTAAAAAAAAATMTCTGTCTGGAATATGCAGAAAATACTAAACAGTAGCTTGCGGTATCAATTACTTGTGAAAATGTATGTAAACACTGTACGGAAATATTTGCTTTGTTTCATACCTGCCGATTTCATCAATTTCATTAACGTCGCATCGTGTCACCGTGGAAATAAAAACTTACTGTTGCAAACGTTTGGGTTGCGACTTTTTAAGAACAATAATTACTTGTAGGTATATAAATTAATGTTACAAAAAAAAATCGTACATTATACTGCAGAATACAGTTGCACCCTTTAAACTGTATTAGGTGCATCATTATTGTCATGCATTTTATTTTTAAACGTACAATGTGTTAGGACTTAACGTTTTTCTCTAATTAAAACTCGGATAATGATTTTACATTTAAAGAGCTTATAATATTAAAATCTGTGCRTGCTTACGTATTGTTTATTTTTGGTATTATTAATTAATTAATGTATGTGTATTTGTTTTGCTGGTTTTTAGTTYGCTGAGGTGAACTWATTTYGATTTGAGTGCGTTTATATTTAATCAATCTACCTACTGCGGATAACCTATTGCTGGTACTCGTACGTTTGCAGATAATCAAACAATATGTCTATACTTAGTAATAAAAATGTTAATTTTATAATTTAATATTATAGTTACTCGGTGGCTTATTCGAACGAAGGTTCCGAATCCTAAAAAACTATATTTGGTGGTAGGATTTAATGAATTTAATGCTTTTGCATAATATGGCTCAATTGATGCTATGGCATATACTCATGAAAACTTAAATAAAATATTTGTACACGATGTAGTTAATCCTAAAACATTTTGTAAAATTAAATTTAGATATATACAATAGGAGCATAACTGTACCAATATAGGACTCTACAGTGTATTTGGAAATGAGGAAATWGAACAAACGCATAATATTAGTATTGTATATATTTTGGTACAAAGATATAATCGCAGGTGGGTAAGCATTCAAATTAATACATAAGTATAGTATTTGTTTAGTATGTTTATTCATTCAATGCATCACTGCTATTTATAATTTGGAAATTTGTGTTGCGTACAAATTTTTAAAAGGTCATGGCACGTAATTCTTACATTTTAAAAATTATGGGCAAACCGTTCGTGGACGTATAAAATTAAAAGAGTTGTAACTATAACATGTTACGCTATTATTTTACAAGGTTTTCTCGAATTTTTAAAACCTTTCCAATATCCGTGTTATATTTATATTATTATATACTATAGAAACGTTGAAAAACGACCAAGAAAGCTCAATTTATATATATATTTTTTTAGGCGTTGTCATATTTCATAGGTAACTTTAATTGAACAATTTTGCTCGATTTTTGTTGTATTGGTCCAGATAAATTGCGTAAATCAACTTCAAAATACATACAAAAAGTTTGATGACTCGCGAAAGCGGTGAAAGTCGTTTTTTAGTCTACGGTATTTAAGTCATTATGAAGCAGAAGTCGTAAATGCGTCTTTATAGTTAATAAAGAGCTACGGAAGTAAAACAAAAAAAAAAGGAATGAATCAAACGAGCTAAGTTCTTCGATAGCCAATTAAATGATTTGGTGCAATGTCGAGCGTAAATTCGTTTTCGACCACATATTAGTTTTTTTCGGGTGTGTGATGGCGAGTTCATTACGAATTTTAAATGTTCTCAATTTGTTCGGCCAAAAAGAATAAACCATTATAAATCGTTCGATAGCGCACGGCAGAAATGAAATAAATACTAATTCCTAAATAATAGCCATTGGTCGTGAAGTCGTGAGCCCGATACGCGAATCGCATAAACTGTATATTCCTACGTATGCATGTTGTTATAGCAGGTGATTTTGTGCAGCCTATCTTGACAAAATGATCTGTGTGAAATCTTTGGTAAATGGTTTACACGTAT